TTCTCATGGAATTCAAATATTTGTTTTACTAAAATATCTAGTTATTCTTAAGCCTAAATATATATATATATATATATATATAGTAACAATATTTAGCTATATTAATTAAAACATTTAATCTTTAATATTTTTTCCTTTATAATTTAGCCTCTTAAGTTTTATTTTTTAAAAAAATTATGATCTTTATTTAAGTTAATAAGTTAATTAATGATACTTAATGATTTGAAAAAAAAAAGTCAAAATATTTATTGAGCTGTATAATTGCTCTTTTAAATTTCTGTCAATTTATTAAATATTTGTTCTGCCTATTTCAAGTCACAAACATTGGCAACAAGAATATTATTGAAAAAGTAAATTTAAAAAAAATCATTGTAATTTCCAACAAATGAAAAGGGTATTTGCGTCATTTGTAGGGTATATGCCTCCTGCCAAACGAAAGGCAAGTATATAAATGCGAGAGATTGCGGTCTCATCGATATTGATAGGACTTTATAAAATTATTTTATTTTAGAAAAAAAAAACCTTTTTTTATTTATATTTTGTATTTATTTTACTTTATAAATGTTGTATTTTTACTTTCATAGACTTAATGATTTTACACTTTTAACCCGGAATTTCCATAATTTTTATTAGTTTTCTAGTAATTAAATTTTTTTTTGTTACTATTAAAATTAATTAAAAATCATATCGTAATCATTTTAAAATAAATTTTAAGACAAAATAAAAAAAAAATTAAATTTAGATAATAAATATAAACCATATTTTAAATTTAAAGCAATTTTTTAATTCATTAAATTATTTTAGTTTCCAATATAAAAACCCCACCGATCCTTCTCCATGCGTTACCATCTTCTCCGCCATGATTTCCGATCAGCCAATTGACTCTCTCTACAGAGCCTTCTTCCAAACCCAATTCTCCCAATCACCACCGCCGGACTCCCAGCTCGACGGAATCGCCGCCGTCGTCGGCCGGAAAGTCCTATTCGGCGACATTCCTCCCTCAACCAGCGGATCAAAGACGCCGGCCGTTACGGGGCAGAAGAGTTATAGAGGAGTACGAAAGCGGCCGTGGGGACGGTGGTCGGCAGAGATACGAGACCGAATCGGACGGTGCAGACACTGGCTGGGAACGTTCGATACAGCGGAAGAGGCGGCGCGTGCATACGACGCGGCGGCGAGGCGGTTGAGAGGATCGAAGGCGCGAACTAACTTCGAAATGCCGTTGGTTGTCCCGCTTGAGTCCACATCATCATCATCCACGTCATCAGTGGAAGGGAAAAGGAATGGTAATAATGGTAATAAGTTGAAGGCGGTGAAGAAACCAAATGGACGGAAATGTGCGGTGGTTACGACGGCGGCGCATTTGTTCAGCCGTGGAATGGAGCTTGATTTGAAACTGGGTTTTGACTTTGTTAATGGTGGTCAAAGCGCATCATAATTCAAAGCTTATTTTGTTCTTTGGAATGGGAACCCAAAAACAAATTTAGCTCGTTCCACTTTTGAATTGTGTGAATGTTTTGAGGAAATTAAGGTACAAATTGTTTCCTTTCTGTCTGTTTTGTGTTGGGTTTCTAATGTAGAAACGAAATTGGGTTTCTTTTTTTTTAATCAGCAATATCATATTTTAATCTTCTTTTTATCCTAAACCCTAATAAATTAGCATCAAATAATGATTTTGATCCTATTCCGTTGGGATTGGAGAATGATTAACCGGGACAGTTGGAGGTACTCGTATTTATAGTCAGAAGTGAAATTAATTTGCCAAGAATGGTTTTATTAATCAAGAACATATAGACCATCACAATGGCTAATTAGTGTTATGCGATATTATTGTTAGACAAACATACGATATTGTCCATTTTAAACATAAACTCTGTTCGCTTTGCTTTGGGCTTACTCAGAAGGCTTCGAGTATTCCTTGTTTATAAATACGTGATCATTTTCTAAATTAGCCGGGACTTTCAACCTCCAGATTAAGAGTAAAAGTTGTCCCAAAATAAAAATGAAATCTTGGGCATAAGCAAACTTGAAAATTGAGAGAAAAAAAATGAAAATTAGGGTTTAGGGAAAGTGAAAGGGGGGAGTTCAGAAAGATCATATCGTGATGATTATGAGAAATAACATTTGAGATGACAGTTTTAGTCGCCATCGCCATCGCCGTCGTGGATGTGCATGCCAAACCCTAATCCACACTTGCAGAAGAGAGAGAGAGAGAGACAGAATTAGGGTTTCTTTTTTTCAAAAGGCTCCCATGAAAAGCGGGGTTTGAGAAGAACTTGGAACACGTACGGACCTCCCTAATGTCTCCCTCTCTATCATTCCAATACTTCCCTCCTATCTCTCCCTCCCTATTCGTGTCTTCACTGACACACCGCCTGACATGTTATGTAATGTTTAGCTCCTGTATCGTTTGTAATAGTCCAAGCTGGTCACTAACAGATATTCTCATTTCAAGTACTATCGTGTATAATTTAATTTTTAATTATATATATGAATAAAAAATGAAAAATAAAAACGGGAATGTGAAAAGAAAGGGATAAAAAGGGACAGCAGAATCCCTGCATGGATAACTAGGTTGATTTTCATACCTCTAAGCAACCTAGAATTGACCGTTGATGTGATTTTATTATTATTTTTTCAATTTTCATTTATTTTTATAATATTTTGAAAATTCAATAATTCAATCTTTTTTTTCTTTTAATAAAATATTTATGTATTTCCCTAATCTAATAATTATTTGTCACATCAATTAAATTCTTTCCTTTGTCTTTTATCTCTTTCAAATAAATAAATAAATATATCATATTACAGAATTTATGAACTTGAATAATTGAATCTAAGAGTAATGATTAATCTCTTTTTTTATATATATTTATTTATTTAATAAAATATATCATATTAGAAAATGGGCCGGCACGTCTAGCATAGGCCCAATTGAGCCCAATAGTAGCGGCTCCATGGACCATCTCTATTTTCTGTTGGGCTTTCATAATAAATAAATCATTTCGAAAAAGAAAGCGCTCCAAATTTAGCTTCGAAATCGTTCTTTCAATTTGAAGAATCGAAGGAAGAGGCGAAAATGGAAAAGAATGTCTTATCGTTGCCGGAAGAATGGTAGGAAGTAGGAACTGATCTTCAGTTTCCTTCTCCAACGCCATCACAGCCACCGTTTATGAATTCTTATCTCCGATCTGCAAGCAGTTCTTCTCCATCACTACCAAGCTTCGAACTGCCCTCTCAATCTCCGATTTAAGCATTCCGGAACTTCCGTGAATATACGGATTTGATGCCTCAAGGAAATAGCAATTTGTGATTTCGATTTCGTTACTCAAATCAGGTATCGCTAAGGCACTACGCCAGAGCCCTAATTTGAATTCAATTTCTGCAAATTGGTAGAGATTCCCTCTGTTCATTAGAATCTTATCGATTCGTTAGATTCTGTGAGTTTTCTTGATCTTTCGGAATCGATTATTTCTCATTGTCATAACTTCTCGTTTTCTGGAATTTCATTGCTGTTGTATCAAAATATTCAGACTGATTGATCTGTAAAGGAGTTATCAGAATTCATAAACCTCACAATTGCTCAAATCTGATCTGTTGTAATTGATATAGAAATGAAGATTGTAAATCTCGCAACAGATTTTATCAACGCTAAGCTTAGATCTACGGATTTATCTGGGGACGAGATCTTGTGCATTTAGAAATTTGGAGGTGTTGAAGCTGAACAACTGTGCAGGAATCGCAGAAGAACGCATTGGAGAAGTTGTAAGGGCATGCACAAAGACGAAGCGTATGGAAGTAAATTGATGCACAGGAATCAAGAATTCGGTGATGAACTAGGAGCTTTCCGCAAAGATTGGGCACTGAAGATTCAACATTAGCAATGCTTGGAAGAAGATGCTCTTCTTTAAAGTGAGTGCAGAAAGGGGTGAAGGAAGTGGAGAGAAGCTGCAGAGAATTGAGGGAAATGCAGGTCACCTAATTCTCTTCTTTCTAATGCTAATCAAAGGAATCTTTGCTTGCGCCATGGATGTCTTCTCTGGTTTTTTTTTTTTTTTTTTTTTTAATAAAAAAAAGCTACAGATATTATCTAAAAGTTTGAAAGATTCAAAAGCGCTTTGAATATTTTAAATTTAAGATTAAATTAATAAAAATAAGTGCGGTATTTTGTCTGAAAAAATATTCATAAATTTTTAAAAATTTAAATAATATTTTTAAACTCTTCACAACATTTTTTTTAAATACATTTACACCATGTTTAAAAAATTATTATCATCAATATTTTGGACGCGTATTGTAATGTTATTTTCTCAATCAGATCCTATTTCATATAAAAATAGAATCGGGAGGAAAGCCAATCACACAGAGATTGGCGAGTTTAAATGAAATGACGAAGAACCAAAGAAGCTCCGGTAAGACTAGAACTAGACGATCTAGAACCAAAGAAAAGACGGTTGAAGTTTGTTAAGATTAGGATGCGATAGGAGTGGTTTATATAATTTTTATATTCATTTCTTTCTATACTCTTTTTTTCAGGTACCGGCCAAGGTGGAGGAGCGTTTGAGAGTTGTGCGGTCATAGAGAGGGTGGTTTCAAAGCGTCCGGTTCATTTTGTAATAGTTTGAAACAAAACTTCACTCTTCTATTTTAATTAAATGAAAACTTCACTCTTCTATTTTAATTAAATGACATTGAAAAATTTAATTCGTTTTGAAAATTTAATCCATTGAAAAAAGTATTAATTCGTTTTGAAAATTTGAGTACTTTAAAATAGGTTTAGAAGTTAAAAGGTATTTTTTAAACCATTTAAAAAACTTAATGATATTTTAATCTTTTTTTCAATTAAAAAGTATTTTTGAGAATTTTTTTTTAAAGTCAATAGTGTAGAATAATAATTTTTATTAATTTAACCTAAAATGAATAAATAACAAATTTATAGTCTAAATCAAATCAAAACAAAATCCGTTTCAATAAATCTAAGAATCCTAAAATTTCCTTCTCATTACCATTATTTACTCCGAGGGATTAAATGCAAAACCCAAAAGAAAAAAGAAAACAAAACGAAAGTAACTATTATTGGCATTTATATTCAGAAAGGGTAGAATAGTAAATAAGAAAATGTGGAGGGCAAGGGATGAATCACACGTGTGGAGTAGATAAACGGCACGTGTAAAAAAGATTGAACGTAACGAACTTCAAACCCATACCACCCGCCACATTTATGCCCTTTCGCCGCTCCTTTATATTCCCTTAAAAAAAATAATAATAATAACAGAAATATTAAGAAAAAAAAAGCAAAATATTAGGAAAATACGTGGAGTAATTGCCACGTTTTCGTAAGGGGTCCGTATGAGGTGGAAAAAAAAAAGAAAAAGGAAAAATTGTAGAGAGAGAAAGTAGGGAATTAAGAGAGTAGATGAGCGAGTAATGAACGTGACCATCCACTCCCAAATGACATGGCCCCATCTATATATACCTTCTTCATCCATCACTCCCCTTTTCTCCCCCCCTTTCTCTCTCTCTCTCTCTCTCTCTGCCTCTCTCTCCGCCATGTCCGACGACAAATGGGTCGATGTTGCACTCTCCGACGACTCTCTTGTCGTCGACTTACTTCTTCGTCTCAACCGTTCTCCGCTGGTCAATCCTCTCTCTCCCCCTCTCCGACTCGATTGGTCCATCCGCCAGCCCCGCTCCAAGCCGATTCTTCCTCGTCAGGCTTCCGATGAGGCGGCTAGAGCCAGTCCGACTACGCCTCTCACTTGGAGTAGTGGCGGTGGCGCTACCTCCGTCAGTGGCGGATTCGTTGACGCCGTAAGATCTAAGGTTGGTTTCGGTTTCGGTTTTTGCTTTGGTGTTCTGTTTTTTCTGAAAACTCGGTGAGTGCGTTTAAAAGACGAAAATGCCCCTCCGTGGAACACATTTCTTTGTTCTTTTTCCGTCGGCGTCTCTCAAATGTTTGCACCCTTTTCTTCCAACTTCTAATTATTCCTCTTTGTGAATTTACGGTTCTACCCTTCCCTTCCCTTTTTCCACCGCCGGCGACTTTCCCGTCAAGATTTTCAAAATTACCGGAACACCCATTTCCACCAACAACGAAAACGGAAAACCCTTTTGCCCATTCATCCAAACGGTGACCTCTGAGGGAGTCCACAACAATAGGTCAGAGTGGCATTTTGGTAATTTAAACAAAAAAAAAAAAAAAAAAAAGGGAGGAAGCAGTATGAAAAGAGTCAAACCCCTGTCTCCATTGGCCCAATAACTCCCATCTTGAACATAGTCAAACCCTAGACTCTACCACAAGGGTCATTTTCGTCATTTCACCCCAAAGCCCAAAAAGGGCCCCTCTTTATCGGTGGCGTGTTTCCATGGCAACGATGTCTGTGTGTCAATGGTATTGGTGGTTGTGCCCTTCGTTTATGAAAATCATTAAAAAAAAAAAAAAAAAAAAAATCCAGTGCGGTCAGTTGCACCATAGCTTTATACACTTGCTTCATCACTACACTTCTTGTTCCCAAATCTGACAAAAGTTTTATGTGTGTATGTTTTTTTTTTTTTTTTTAAATGTTAAAAGAGAAAGTAGATTCGTTTGTATGGTCAAAAGATGTGTCGTGTTCTTTCCTATAACCATGAATTTTTGTGTCCGGAAAATGGTACAACCAACACTGCCCCTTATTGGTGAACTCCATGTTTAATCATTACAAACTAATTCTTGTTTAACACTTGTTAATTGTTGATTAACTCTCTTGTTTAACTACTTAATGGGTTCTTCATCGTGTTGAATGGAGGAGAGACGACCCTACTTGTGGAAAAAGTGTTCAACTTGTGAAATGGGGCATCTTTAATTCAATGCCTTTCTTCATTTGCTTGGATTGGTGGTATTAGTGGATATGATTGTTTAGTACTCACCTCGGGTTTCGGTTTGAATCCGTATCTCACGTATGAACACTTGACCTCGACCCGAGTCCCGATCGAGATCCATTTGTTCTTTATTTATGGTTTCTCTGTAATTGTTTAGTAGTGACCTCGGGTTTGGGTTTGAATCCTTATCTCACGAATGAATACTTGACCCCGACCCGAGTCGGGATCTCGGGATCTATTTGTTCGTTATTTATGGTTTTTCTATAATTTGAGTTGATTGTTTAGTAGTGACTGTTATCACACATTTGTAACTTCACTACTAAAACCTTGGGTTTGGGTTTGAATCCTTATCTCACATATGATAACTGACCTCGGCCCGACCCGAGTCGGGACCAGGATCCATTTGTTCTTTGTTTATAGTTTTTTCTATCATTTGAGTTGATTGTTTAGTAGTGGCTGTTATGACACCTTTGTAACTTCACTACTAAAACCTCGGGTTTGGGTTTGAATCCCATCTCACGTACGAAAACTTGACCCGGACCTAGACCCGGGTCTGAATCCGGATCAAATTGTTGGTTATTTGACTAAGGGGATGAGTTTTGAATGTATTATATGTGCAGAATGCTGGTAAGAGTGAAGTAGTTGCAACAATGAAGAGGCCAAGAAAGAAAAAGGTATGGTTTTTTTGACCCTTTGCTTTGCCTTCTTTTGGTTAGTGTATGAGATTCTGATATCATTTCCTTTTTGGGCAATCATGATGGGTATCCATGGTGGTTGGCAGACACTTGGAGAACTCAAAGAGGAGGAGGTTTTGCTATTGAAGGAAAGGAGAAGCTTGAAAGATGTATGTTTTTTTCTGTAAGAATCATATGATAATGGTCGTTTTCTAGTGTCGGTCTTGGTCTCGGTCTCGGTCGAGCTCTTGCTAAGCTTTTCCTTTTATAAGAGCAGGCCTTGGCGATCTTGCGGCTCACTGTCGAAAAACAGAGGTCTATCAATGGAAGCTTGAAGAAAATGAAGGTGAACAACTTCCACTGTTATTTCTCTTTGACTGGAAAGCTGCTGCTTTTTCTTATGTTCTTTTTGCTGAGGTTGCATATGTAACTATGATCTGCTCAAGCCCGCTAGCGGATATTGTTCGGGCTTTTCCTTTTGGGCTTCCCCGCAAGGTTTTTTAATCGTGTCTGCTACGGAGAGGTTTCCACACCCTTATAAAGAATTCTTTGTTCTCATCTCCAATCGACGTAGGATCTCACAATCCACTCCCCTACGGGACCCAGCGTCCTCGCTGACACTCACTCCCTTCTCCACCTAAAGCAGGACCCCTCAAATCCACCCCTTTTGAGGCCGAGCGTCCTTGCTGGCACACCGCCCATGTCCACCCCCTTTGAGGCTCAGCCTCCTCGCTGGCACATCGCTCAATGTCTAGCTCTGATACCATTTGTAATAGCCCAAGTCTACCGCTAGCAAACATTGTTCTCTTTGGACTTTCCCTCAAGATTTTTAAAACACGTCTGCTAGGGAGAGCTTTCCACACCCTTATAAAAAATTCTTTATTCTCTTCCCCAATCGAGGTGGGAATCAAATGGGTTGTTTATGAACAGATTCTTTTCAAAATAGTTCTAAAAGTAGTGGTTTAATCGGGGAGGGTAGCTTTGAGGATTGGAACAGCTTTAGCTGTTTTTACTGAATGTGTTACATAAAGAAGCTAACTTGTTCTTTTTGAAACTCTACAGATTGATTTCGATTCGCAACAAGCGATCGAGATGGCGGTAACATCTGCTATGCCGAAGGAAGCAAGCTCCGACCGACCTCAACCGCAGACACTACCGATATCTATATGCAACACAATGCCTGTCGGAGTCGATGCTTCTTCTTACCAATTACCTCTGCCAAATGTTTCTTGCAAACTACAGGAGATGGGAACTCTTGGGACCGTTCGTTCGATACCCGATCTTAATATGCCTTTTCAAGAGGACTCCGGTGCCGACATCTTGTACCGAATGAGCTAAGACGAATTCAACCGAAACAAACGCTCCAATAACTAAGAGGGACAAAGACGACAACGACAACAACAAAACCATTTGCTTCTTAATAAGATGTAGTTCCTGAATCCTAACCGTTATAGGCTCGAGTTACTTACAACTGTAATTACGTAACCATTTTTCTTAGCTGCATATTCATATATCTTCTTCTTTTTTCCCTTTCCATAGTACCTGAAAAAATCGAGCATAGAACCGTGTAGAGACCCCGAAAACTCGTTAGCTGTTTAGTTATTATATTATTCATTCACAGTCAGTCTGTTTATTTTGTTTGTAGCCAACCCTTACCCTGTAATTACTGCATAATTTCAAACAAAGTTCAGTGTTCCATTTCATTTCTTCATTCCTTGATGTTCTTCTCTTCATCGTACAGCAATCTTTTAAGAGTTTAGAGAGGCCCATCAAAGTTTCAAACTTTGAAGATCCAGTCCATTCAAATGGCCCACAAAAGCTTCCGCTTTTGTTTACTTTTCTAACGAAACCTCTCCCTAATAGATGCGTTTCAAAATTGTGACGCTAACGGCAATACGTAATGGACAATAACAGACAATATTTGTTAGCGATGGGCTTGAGTTATTAACTCTCCACAATGGTTAATATTTGTTAGTGATGGGCTTGAGTTATTAACTCTCCACAATGGTTTGATATTGTCCACTTTGAGCATAAGCTCTCATGGCTTTGCTTTGAGCTTCCCCAAAAGGTCTCTTGCCAAGGGAGAGAGTATTCCTTGGTTATAAACCCATTAGCTGATGTGGAACTTTCATCATCCAACAATTACAAATGGTATCAGAGCTAGACATTGAGCAGTGTGCCGGTGAGGATGATAGTCCCTAAAGAGGGTGGATTGTGAGATCCCACGTGGGTTGGAGAGCAGAACAAAGCATTTCACATTTCTTATCAGGATTTGAAAATCTCTCCCGAACAGACGTGTTTTAAAACTGTGAGACTAAGGACGATAGATAACAGACTAAAGCCGACTATCTACCATCACAGACTTGGGGCGCTACAAAATTGTCTAATTTCAAGATTAATCAATCAAAATTAGCCTAAAACATCACAAATTATAATTAATTAAGTCGTTCCTAATTAAAATAAGTTTTTTTTTTCTTAATTGATACCATTATTAGTTTATGATTTTATGGCCGAAAAAATTAATTTTTAAATTCTTTTAATTTTTATCGAAAATATATATTTTAACGAGTCTAGCACATAAACAAATTTATTTAGTTATACTATTTCATTATAGAAGTGGCATGTTTATTTCCATGAATGTCGAGCATGGTATTAGTGATAACCAAGAAGCGACTACATCCCCTCCCCTATTTCACCAACAAACAAAGCACATTAAAATTAGGGTATCATTGACAACATTATATTGAGGTCTATCCTACCAAAAACATCCTTAAACAACGGTCCAAAACACAAGCAAACAATACTAGGATTTGTTGTTTACCCACATTTGGGATTCCCACTCATATAAGCTGTTTTATTTTTTATAATATTTATTAACAAAAAGGGATTGGTGTCTGTTCTTCCTATAATATACAAATTGTTTTACCATAATATTTTATGTCAATTGAGTTATGATGATGTTCACGGGATCAAAATAAATATTTTAAAAATTTATAAATATAAGCGATAACTTCAAATATACTTCTAAGAAAAGGGAACAACAAAAGCAAATTTCTTTTTTAGCCTAAAAAATAGCCTTTTTGAAAGGCATTATATAATTTGGGCCATGGATTGTGATGTTAGTAGACAGTGATCACATGAGAGCTGTGAGATGTCACAAGCAAAAGCAACACATTATCTCATTTCTCATCAACAAACATTAATGGCAATGTAGGTTCCACTTAATTATTATTTCCCCTTCAAAAAAAGGCTCAAATTCAATACACTTTTTTCAAGAAAATGATACATTAAGCAAAGAAAATGACAGTAAATCTTACAAATCATTCAAAATTTTGTAATAGAAACATGAACAATTTAAGATGAAGCTGATTATGAAAGCTATTAACTTAATCCACTTTCTTAATCATGATTAGCGAGGCAAGAACAAATGCAAGGATTTCGAAGTTTCCATGATATAAAGCCCAGATGGAAAAACAAAATTAAAGCATGTTTTTTGAAGATTTCAAGATCATGGTGTGGCCCATGAACCAATCTAATCCAATTAAAAAATCGAGTTGGGTCTCTCGAGGTTGTGCCCTCTCCACCACAGCCCCACATTCATAGATTTCGAATTCTTTAACCCTTTTCGATAGCTGCTTGAAGGTCGTGAGCCTACCAAATATGAAGAAAAAAGTGTTTTCTTGGTTTCCCTGAAGCTGTTCTTTGTCTGTTCTTGAGTGCAGAGCGAAGAACAGAGAAATCTGGAAGGTGGGTTATGAATAATCTTCATGCTATTTTAATCCCCATGTGGGTTTTCTATTTCTTGTTCCTAATGATCGATGCCAGGCCAGAGCTTGCTGGGTTTTCAATTTCTCACATGGTAGCCAAAATGGAAGCTCAATCCCCAGGTTTTTGCTTCTGATTCTGTTCTGTTTCTTGTCTTTGTGTTCTTTGGTGCATGTTTGTTTGTTTCTGGGACATTTTAGATGAGATGTTTATGAGCTTTCAAATTCAAACTGGGAATAAGAACAAGACAAGAAACATAGGCGCTATAGAGTGAAGAGGTTTTAGTATCTTGTGTTCTTGCTGGTCCTTAATGTCTGTCTCATTTTAGTGTTTTGTGTTCTTTCTTGGCTTTCTAATCTGTTGGTTTGAGCTGTTTAAGTGTTGTTCTTCAAATTTGGAACTCATTTTGTTAACGCACAGGAGTTCCTGAGGTTATTAGAGTAGTTCATCACCAAGATTTGAACAAGAGAATTCTTGTAGCATTGGTTGTTTCTTCCACTCTTCTTGGAGCTATATTGTTGTTCCTTTTGTGTGTTTGGATATATCGTCGAAGAACGTCGAAACTCGATGATGGAGAATGTCGAAAGGATTTGGGTACTTTCCTATCAGTTTGATTGAACTCTTTTGTAGCTTTTTGATTGGTATGAATGTAGTACACCAACTTATGATGTTGTTTTCTTTCTGTCGATTCGAAGAGGTTTCGAAATCGACGATGATGAACCCCATATCCAGATTTAACTCCTTGAGGCTGGCTAATTTTAAAGGTTCGGTTTCGATGATCGATTATAAACTGTTGGAAGCCGCTACTGATAACTTCAGCAAAAGCAATGTTTTGGACGAGGGTAGTACCGGACATGTTTATAAAGCTCGATTCGATGATAAAATGCTTGCAGCTGTGAAGAGAATCGAGTATGGAGGACTGGATGCTGAACGAGAATTCGAGGTTTATCGATCATTTGCTGATTATTTCTTTGCTTGATCATGTTTGTGATTGAAGAGCTCCAATTGTATTTGGCAGAATGAGGTGAACTGGTTGTGTAAAATACGACATCAAAACGTAATCAAGCTCTTGGGGCACTGCATTCGTGACGAAACACGGTTTCTTGTTTACGAGATGATGCAGAATGGATCTTTGGAGTCTCAATTGCACGGTATGGATTTGCTTTAGGTGTAGAATGAAAACACGAGAATCTCGAACTCAACTATTGCTTCATCTCTTAGGACCTTCTCATGGATCGGCTTTAACGTGGCATCTCCGAATGAAGATCGCGGTCGACATTGCAAGGTAAGTCCACCATTCACATATATCACTCGTCTTTTCTCTGTATATATAGACATAAGAGTCGTCATTTTGTACGTTGGTAGAGGATTGGAGTATCTTCACGAGCACCGAAGTCCTCCGGTCGTTCACCGTGACTTAAAATCATCAAATATCCTTCTAGATTCGGACTTTAACGCCAAGGTACGAAAATTCACATAAACCAGCTGAGTTTCCCTGTTTATTACTTCATTAGAACTTCCAGAAGGTTTCTCATAAGTTCACTTCATCCAGCTCTCTGACTTTGGCCTTACTGTAAACTTGGGAGCTCAAAATAAGAACATAAAGCTCTCGGGAACGCTCGGATATGTCGCCCCCGAGTACCTTTTAGACGGTATGCAAGCTTCTCATAACTTTCTGATCTGCATATGACTTTAGCACCATGACAACACGAAAGTTCGTCATTCATTTAGAGTAGTACCGACTTTCTGATACGAAAACTATGTCGATGACCATTATTTTCCAGGTAAACTAACTGATAAAAGCGACGTCTATGCTTTCGGAGTCGTTCTTTTAGAGCTTCTGACCGGGAAAAAGCCCGTCGAGAAAATGGGACCTACTCAATCCCAATCTCTAGTTTCATGGGTAGCTTATACTGTTCTTTCCCCACCAGTTTTTTGTTCTTTATATCAATTGCAATCAGCATAGTGAACTGTGTTATCAAGCCAAATGCAGGCAATCCCGCAACTTAGCGACCGATCAAAGCTACCGAAAGTTGTCGATCCCGTGATAAGGGACACAATGGATTTGAAGCACTTATACCAAGTTTGTTCATTGCATTGCTCTTGTTCAATCAGTTGATGTTTTATTTTCAATCCATTCTTAGATGCTGCTAAATTCAAACAGGTTGCTGCTGTAGCTGTGTTATGTGTACAATCGGAACCGAGCTATCGACCGTTAGTTACCGACGTTCTGCATTCCCTGATCCCTCTTGTCCCTGTAGAGCTTGGAGGATCACTAAGAATTACCGAACCGCTGCATCTGAAAGAGCCTTCGTCGACCCGCTAACCGATCATAGAAAGAATTCAATGCTTTGTTCAATCACATTCTACACTGATTGAAAGGAAAACAGTTGTGTTTGGTGAAGTTCTTATTTAAACATTGTTTAAATAGTTAATTATAAGATTAGTACCTAAGCTTTCGTTTATTTATTAATTATGTGTAATTCAACTTTTTTTTAAAAAAAAAAATTAATCAAATTGAATTTTGCACCCTATAAGATATTAAATTTTTAATTTCATGTTTAATAAATTTGTGAGTTTCTAAAGATTATATACTTTTTTAAAAAATTATAAAATTAAAAATCTAAGAACATATCTCAATAATTAAAATTAATTTTTTTTTATTATGTTTTATGGGTAACAAAAAAAATGGTCTATCCTAGGTTGAGTTTAATGGGCCATTCACTGTTGGTTCGGCCCAATTCATTATCCTCGGTTGAATTTAATGGGCCATTCATTAGTTGGTCCAGCCCAATTCATAATAGTAATGTTTTTCTTCCCCTAATTAGTTTGGACATGTTTAAATTAGCAAAATAAATAAGAACTAAAAATTTTATTTTGAATTTCTTATAATTCCACCAAAAAAAAAAAAACAATTTGAAATTTGAAATGGGTGTAAAATAACTATGTATTAAGATATATATATATACAAACCTGACATAGTTTATTCCGTTCGTATGCTTAGTCAATTTATGCATGAACCAAGAAAACCACATTGGGAGGCAGCTCTTCGAGTTCTGAGATACATCAAAGGTACTCCTACTACCATCTGAAAACAATTTAAGATTACAAGCATATTGCGATTTTGATTGGGGTAATTGTCGAACTTCCAAACGATCTATTTCTGGGTTCTGCATTTTCCTCGAAAATTCAATTATTTTTTGGAAGTCTAAAAAGTAGACTAATGTGTCCAAATCATCAGCAGAAGCCGAGTATCGAGCTATGACAGATACTTGTTTAGCTAACTTGGTTAAGATACATTCTTCAAGACTTGAATGTTCAAATGTCCGAACCAGCATTATTATATTGTGATAACCAAGCAGCATTACATATAGCAACCAATCCAGTTTTTCACGAACGTACGAAACACATTGAAATAGATTGTCATATAGTTCGAGAAAGTTTAGCTCAAACTTGACTCTAATTTTCGAGCTGGAATTTATGAAGCTTATTCTGATATGGTTCATTTATGTACCGTTTCATTACTCAGAAAACCCGTACATGAATAGATATTGGATTGTGTTTTATGGAGAACACGTGGATGGGAAAGGGGAGAAGGGTAAAAGCCATGTGCTAAGGTGAGTATGTATTTGGATAACATGGGGAGGCCATGTGAAGGTATGGCTAAGTGAGGAGAAACAAAATCAACTAAACCTCTCCTTTCTATGTCACATCTTTATTTTATTTTATTTTTCTTTCTATATATTAAAAAAGCTTTAAAACTTATCCATATGTGACTATTTTAAGGTTTATCCATGCTCAATTTGTCCATTAGTAAATATGTATTTGGGATATGATTAGTACCATAACGTCCCAATGCTTCCCTGAGTCATAGGGATTAAGGTCGTTAAAAACTCAAGCCCGTCATTAGTAGATGTTGTCTATCGTCGTCAGTCTCACGGTTTTAAAATGCGTTTACTAGAGAGAGATTTTCTTATCCTTATAAGAAATGTTTCATTTCCCTCTACAACTGATATGAGATCTCACAATCCATCCCGTTTGGGAGCTTGGCTCTAATACCATTTGTAACAGACCAAACCCACTGCTAGCAGATATTGTTTGTTTTGGCCTATTATGTATTGTCGTTGGCCTCACGATTTTAAAACGCGTTTATTAGGTAGAGATTCTACACCCTTATAAGGAATGCTTCATTCCCCTCTCCAACCGATGTGAGATCTCACAATCCACCCCTGTTGGGGGCCTAACGTCCACACTGGTACACTGCCTAGTGTTTGACTCTAATATCATTCGTAACATGTCAAACTCACAGCTACCAAATATTGTTCTCTTTGGGTTTTCTCTTCTAGACTTCCACTCAAGATTGTAAAACACGTCTATTAGGGAGAGATTTCCACATCCTTATAAGAAATGTTTCATTCTCCTCTTGATATGGAATCACACACACGGATCATGAAGCTGGACACAGAAGAAAGGTTTAGCTCATTCATTTAGCACTCATCTAGAGCCTGATGGTAGCAGACACGAGCATGCATGGCATGACGATATGGTCCTACTAGGACTCAAGATTCCAAATCTTAAAAGAATAAAAAGACACATTGAGACCCAACAAAATATCCCAAAAACAAGCTAAGTTATTCGATTAACAATTAAACTATATATTAAAAGACAAATTCCCTTTTATAAGCTCACTAAAATTACACTATGATTGTAAATCATGATTACTCCAACTAAGTAACAAAATTTGGAAAATAATTGAATCAATTGGGGAATGAATCCATCTTAGGCAGAGATTAATGATTATGTTAGGGGTAATGAAATTATACTAATTAATGATAAGTGGGCTTAGTGCATGATATTAATTAACTAAAGCAAATGATATAACATAATCCAAACATATTCATGAAGCCAAATAAATATTGAAGACAAAATCACATGTTTTATTTTTCAAACGTTAAAAAAAACATGTGGGTCCTAAGTTGTTGGAACTTGTTTGGTAAGCGTGAATGACATATCCCAACCCTATATATGCACTCCCCAAAAAAGCATCATTATTTCTCACTCAATTCATATCTTCATATCCTTCCAAAAGTAGTCGACAAAGTGCATTTCCATTTAATATTTTCTCTTTTTCCCTTCAAACCCTAAATTTTTTTATTTTATTATATGCTTCCCTCCTCCAATCACTTCGCTTTCATTGATCATTACACGATCTTCCTCTACGATTATGGTCATGATTATGCTTCGGTTTCGACCTAAAAGATATCACTCCTGGTCGTTCTCTACTGGGTTCGAACTATATTTACGTTTCTAACGTTGTAGGATCTTCTTAAACGATTTTTCTTCTATGCTTTAGTTTCGACCTAAAAGATATCATTTTTGGTCGTTCTCTACTGGGTTCGGACTATATTTATGTTTCTGACACTGTAGGATCTTCTTAAACGATTTTTCTTCTATGTTTCGGTTTCGACCTAAAAGATATCATTTATAGTCGTTCTCTACTGGGTTCGATCTATATTTACGTTTCTAACATCGTAGGATCTTCTTAAACGATTTTTCTTCGATGCTTCGGTTTCGACCTAAAAGATATCATTTATAGTCGTTCTCTACTGGGTTCGATCTATATTTACGTTTCTAACATCGTAGGATCTTCTTAAACGATTTTTCTTCTATACTTCGGTTTCGACCTAAAAGATATCATTTCTAGTCGTTCTCTACTGGGTTTGAACTATATTTACGTTTTTAACGTTGTAGGATCTTCTTAAACGATTTTTCTTCTATGCTTCGATTTCGACCTAAAAGATATCATTTATAGTCGTTCTCCTAATGGGTTCGAACTATATTTACGTTTCTAACGTTGTAGGATCTTCTTAAACGATTTGTCTTCTATGCTTCGGTTTCGACCTAAAAGATATCATTTATGGTCGTTCTCTACTGGGTTCAAACTATATTTACGTTTCTAATGTTGTAGGATCTTCTTACACGATTTTCCTTCATATTTTACCTAAATTATCTCATCTCTAATATTTTCTCTGCTGGGTTGGGACTATATTTGCATCTCTAACACTAAAGAGCTTAATACTTGAACTATACAAGGAATGACACGATTTGGGACCATATTTCCTTTACGCAGTTCGTAAAGGGCTAACACTCGATTTTGTATCGAATCATATCAAGGATGGCTCGACCGGGAAGGATAAGCGTGGTGGGGGATGAGTCAAAAAAGGTGGGAATTAAGGTGCTCAAAGAACAAGCAAAGCTGTAAAGTTGATTATAAGAAGTGGAAAGCAAGAGAGGAGAGAGAGAAAGATGAAAAAATGTGTTGGAGAGAGAGAAAATGAACATTAAAAGGAAAGAGTCATGTTTCCTGTTTACAAACCCTCATGTGTTCATATTTGGCTGCACTCCAACTCCCATTTCTTGGATTCCTCCATTGATTCAAACCCAAAAACACACACACTCATAAGAACACACAAAGAAACAGACAAGACAACCAAGTTTTCTCTCTCTTTGTTCTTTAATGAATTTTATAATTTTATGTTTTTTTTTTTTTTTTAATATTCTCACTTTACCCTTTTTCTTTTTCCTTTTGCATGATCCAATGCAGCCACTAACTCGATCAATATGTTTCTTTAATTTTCTTTTCACTTCTAAATTATCAAACTTTCAAATAACCCATTGAAGTTGACATAATTAAAATTAAATTTCATATGATCCCATCTTCATATTACTACAAAAAGTTATGATCGTGACAAAAACGCATCATATTTCGAGATGGGTCGGTTTTAAATTCCTTTTTTGATCAACATTTCTAATGATTTTATATATTTATATATATATATATATATATATTAGTAAATCTAGGGGGGAATTGGAGCTATGTAATGATTTCGAACGGTCCGAGATCTAGCAACTCTTGAATCATTTGTTCAATGTGATCATCTTCAAGAGGTTGAAGGCATGGCTGATGATGAATGTTGTTGTTGTCGTTGTTGTTGATCTCCATTTGGGCTTCGTCGGAGTAGACCCATGTTTCTTCCGGTGGCCACTGGCCGGTGGTGGTCCTGGAAATGCTCGGTGGAGGACCGCCGTTCAGGTCGAACCCCGGGTGTTGCTTATGGATGTGTTTTTTGGTGATTTGGAGTGAGGCTAAATGGCATTTGTGTAGTTTGGCTATGAGCGCCGGTGAGAGAAGGTTGGAGGAAGAAGAAAAGGAGGGTTGATCGTTGAGATTGAGTTGGAAGTTAGTTCTAGCTTTGGGGCCGCACATCAGCCTCGCTGCCTCGTCGTAGGCTCGGGCTGCATCCTCCGCCGTCTCGAACGTCCCCAACCATATTCTCGTCTTTCTGAAAAAGAAAGTTTTTAAGTAGAAGGAAGAAGGAAGAAGAAGGGAGTATTAAAAATCTCAAAAAGTTTGTATTTTTAGTGTATAAAAGAAGAGAATTACAATAGAGGGTGGCGAATTTCGGAGACCCAAGAGCCCCAATGTCGTTGACGAACACCGCGATACCGTTGTTGAGGTCGGGCCATGGCGGTCGGAGAAGGAGGAGGAGGAGGTTGAAGAGGAAGTGCAACGGTGGAAGAGGTCGGAGTTTGGTTGGTGATGGAAGTGAAGAGAGAAGAGAAGTATATATAGACCACTTTTTGGCATTACTATTGGAACCTTTTGGTCATTTTGGTCTCAATTTCCCTAATTTTGGCTTTGGTTCTTATTTTCCATTTTATTAATCTTTTCAAAAGCTTCAATTCTTAACCCATTTGATGTTTTCTATGTAACCAAACAAAGATGTCATTTTTCCAACGTTTATGTTACAATGTTTCATCAACTTATCCTTCAAACATTAACTTCCTTTAATTTTCACCATGTTTTAAATATTATTGTACTATATTCCGACATTATTAAGTACATTTCGTTCTCCCCCACCATTTTTGTTTTTCCTTTCCGTTTTTGGTCGGTTGTGGATACCCCGACACTTTCGTTCGTAGTCACGTGCTCTGATCCTCTGAGCTACAGACTCCATTTTGTCTACACTAGATAGACTCCATTTTGTCTCTACTACACCTGTTCACAGTTCTAGTTTATTCTGTATGTCAACAAGAGAGGTCACTCTGCAACCTAGAGAGGTCATTTTTCAATCTGACCTTATGCGCCCTTCAAGTGTGCACTTAACATCAAGGAGTATGCTGGCAAGCTTTCAACAAGGATGAACACCCCCAATCAATCCACATTTTCTCCATATCGATATATGATGCTAAACCGAAGTCGAGCTCGATTGAGAGGGGCAACCCCTTTGTTGGCTCTTCGAACAAAAGCACTCATAGGAATGATGTTAATTCCCATGTTCTTTTGAGTCTCGTATGCTTTCGAGAGCCTCCCTCTCCTCGTCCCTTACTCGTCTTTTAACCGTCGTCATTTTGTGGATGAAGAGTCAAATGTGGGGTTGGCAATCAATGTTCTCTCGGAGAATAAGAGAGGCAACCTAAGATTCCTCCCCAGGACCATGAAAGGCGATAGAGAACGGCAAGCCACTTTTATAAAGTTTTCGAACTCAAAGGATTAAACTTGAACGCTACCTGGGACTCGAATGATTCCACGCAGCATAGAGCTTCAATCAATAAGTCATTTCGGTCTGATTTTCTTTTTGGTCATTGATTTATTCTAAAATTATTAAATTACAAATTTGATCCCTCTATTGAGATTATTTTCAATTATTTTCAATTATTTTCAATTATTTTGATAATTATAATTTAGTCAAATCTCACGAATCGTCTATATCGTCACTATATTAATAACGGTTGATATTTTATTTATTTATTTATTGGGACAAAGCCACATGAATTTCAATGTTGAGCATTTAAGATAGGAGATGAAGGAAAGAGGTCCACCACGAGACGACGTCGCATCGCATGCAGCACCCATGCAGGGCCTCATGGCCATATCTTTGTATATTTTCAATCAATTGCCGTTTTATTTCATACACTTTTTTTTAATTAAAAAAAAAATCTTTTTCCCATATGCTTTCCATTTTTAATTCCTTTTTATAATTTAAGCTTTTTCCATGATATTTAAATTATAGTTTATTATATATATCATATTTGATATTTTATTATAAGTAAATATCTAAATATTTATTTAGGTATCTTTCCATATTCTTCTAATTTATTTAATTATAAATAAAATAACTTTCACACCATTTAAGTGCAGTGGATTGATCAAACATTCTCAGTTACATTTTTATTATATAGTTTTTAACTATATACTTTGTACATTTGTATTCGACTTCGAGTAGAAGATGACCAAAGTAAACAATAAAAAAAAACGACTTTATTATGTTTAAAACAACTTTATTTTTTAATTTCACCCTAATGATGTTCAAAAAAATTTATCAACCCAACCCGTATGGTTTGAGTTGGGTTATAGATTGAGTTTAATGAAAAGAAATTGGTTCATGGTCCCTAAATCTAGATGGATCGACTTGGTGATTGTGTTCAAAATAACCCACCTGATTATTAATTATGATATATATATATATATATATTTAAAAAATAATAATTTCTTCCGCTTATCATATAATTATATATATATATTTAATTGAGTTGGATCTAAAAAAATGTCATAAGTCATGAACACTCTTACTTTACCTGAACGACTTCCTGTCTAATATCGGTAATGTTCTTTCACACTTATATACTCATAATCTTCCTTTTAACTATCTAATGTAAGACTTTACTTTGCATTCCTGACAAAACCAATGCATAAAACCGACCTACGAAAAAAAAAAGAATTATATGCCACAAATTATTTTTTAAAAATTTAAATAGCCTAGAAATATTTTTTAAAAATATAAGGAAATTTTAAAAATGGTAAAAATGCATAAATAAAATAAGGTTAGTTTTAATTAATTGGTTGAGAGAGCTGACTAAAATATTTCATCTTTTAATCATTTTTTAAAAATTAATTACAATTTATAAATTTGAATTTGACTAAACCAAAAAAAAAAAAAAAAAACAATATGGAGGGAATAATTATATTATTTATTTATTTATATAACATTTCAAGCTCTTGAAAAGTCAATTAAAGGGTTTGGTATGGTATGCTCTTTGCATGCTTATAATTTCAATAATTAATTATATTATCAATCAACGTCATCCTATTATTTTTTATTTTATTATAGCCTTCTATTTTTCCACATTATTCTAAATTTCTAGATTTAGTTCACACTCACTTACCCTAGATTTTCAAATATCACTCCTCAACAAAAAAGTCATCCCACCATAGCAGGTGGGCTAGTTCCACTGTCATCGTCGGGATCAACCCATTTAGCATAATTCCAAAGAAAAATTGTCGATAGAGCTAGTGACGACATTTCTTTAGTCCTGTCAAAATGAAAGGCAGGCAATGTATGTTACTAAATTTGAGCCGAGGTCGAAATTATTTTATTATATAGTTTCTATAATAAGTGATCCTCTTCTCATGTATATATATATATATATATATATATATGAAACTATATGAATTGGAAATGATGAGGCAATGCCTAAAAAGACTAAAATTAAACCTAATAAAAGCTTCCATTGGATAAGATTAATTCTAATTTTAAAAACCATAAATAGCAAAAGAAGGGGGAAAAGATTGGAATGATTTGATTGGCATTTTAAAAAATAGAGGCATGCATTTAAATTTTCTAAAGTTTAAAGGAAAAAAAATCACTTTTTTATTTTTAAAATGGAAATAAATACCAAATTCTAAAGTTCTTTTCTTTACATATACTCAAACAACCAAAACAAAACAAACAAAACAATGTTTTGAATTATTATTATTATTATTATTATTATTTAAATATTTTGGAGGGTTATTAAATAAATAATAAACTTTTTGATTCTGTGGGCCCATTCATAGATCTTAATCCCTTCACTTTTTTCTTTTTAAGAATTCTAATATTGACCATTGCTTTTTTGTACCTATTTTCTATTGGCAGCTTGGGCCCAAGCTTGTGTACTTATTGGGCTTTGCTGCCCTTTTTATTTTTTATTTTTTGGAATTTTCTTCTTTTCCTTTTTGTTTTTTTTATACAAATAACTTTATTATTTTTTTTTTTGGTTCATCAAAAATTTTTATTTTTCGGAAAAAGGAAATTTATTTTCATTATGATTTTATTTTCCATCTAAAAAAAAAACTTTTTGATTTGTAGACAAATGTATATATATAATTCATTTATTTAATAAATTGAATTTAGGTCACACTTAAAAAAGCCAAAAAAAAAAAAAGTGAATCTCGTTTAATAGCTACCTATGGTATGGCTAATGAAAAAAGAAATACTTTAATTTCAAAATAATTAAATTAATAGCCAAAACAATCATTAAAAAACAATAGAGACATAAATAACTTTGATGTGGACAGATTATAATATAATATATGTATATTCTAAAATTATGGATATGGGAAGGAATGGTTAATTATTATTTAAAATAGAATGTAACTATCCTAATGATATAAATTGAAAAGCATAATACACAATAAGTTCATAATTCCTACGTTAAACGGTGCAAAACTATCAACTACATTGCAGCGGTCTCCTCATATAATTTGTTCTCTCTAGAAATATGGTATGTCAAAGTAGAAAACTAACAAACCACCACGCATTAGATATTTACCTAAACCAGTAGGTTCTTGAGCGGATCCAACGTTAGCTCCAAGACGTTGGTCTCTAACTAGAAACGTAAATGTTTGAGCTTGAGAAGCTTCGGGTCCAGTCGGCACGTAAAACTCACGCAAATAAGCAGTGTTATTGAACCAGACAAAACAATAAGGAATAAAACCAAAAAAGGATAAAGCACCTAAACTATAAGACAAGTAAGCTTCTCCAGACCATACAAGTGCGCGGCGAACCCATGCAAACGGTTTAATTAAGATATACCAAATTCTACCAAGTATACAAATGGAACCTAACCGAGTGAAAAACAACCATCCTTCCTAATCGTAAATATTAAATTACTGCAAGGTGTAAATGAGTGAGAATCCAACTCTTTTAACTTTTGAGTAACTTTTGAGATCTAAACCCAAATGTCATATCACCAATGAACTTAATTAATAACTTTAATTTTCAAATGGGCCATAATCTATTCACAAAATCAAGATTATATATTGATAGAGATTCACACACATACATGTGTAGATAGAGATTATGTTGCACATCTCTGGAACACATGGATCAATTTGAGGAATAGATAGATAAATAAACGGCAATTTCCTTTAATAGGAGAACAATCATCCTGAATGGATATTTGTTAAGAACATATTAAAAAACTACACTTTGTTGGTGATTTAGATAAGAGGGAAAAAATGAAATGGGAAATCCACAAGATTAGGAGCTTGGAAAGGAAGTGCAAACGGGATGATTCAGATGCAAAAAGCAGAGAAATAGGGGAACAAGTAGATAATGTAAAAGAAGTTTGGATTGCTCAATGATTTGGAGGTTTTAAGTAAAAGTATGAACTTTCACGACTCACCAGGTAAAAGCCCCTCCTTTATGCATGCCTAGTATATAGTTCCAATAGAACTTAAAAGCAAGAAACCAACTTGATTTATTTTCTTACTTGGTAGTGATAATTCAGTGCTTGACATCTCAGTGTGTATGCACTTCACAGCAGATTCCGACACTGGACCCTTTCATAATGGAACAAAGAAAAACATCAAATTTGCAGAATTGCCAAGAAAAATTTAGTGTTCAGATTTGAAAGCAATATTTGCAGTCTTTGTCCTAAAAAGTATAGGCACCATCAGATCAAGCAGTTTCAAGTGGTAAGATGCATCAAAGAAAGGACAATAAAATAAGATTTCATACCACTTTTCTGAAATGTAGGAAGATAAAAGTCATGTGCTTGTTAATAATGCCATCTTAATGATTTCTGAGGTCCTGGCCAATTTGATATTATATTAACCCGTAACCCCACCGTCCTTTATCTTGATGGGAAAAGGTAAAAAGAGTCGGAAGGATAAATGTAACGGTCCAAGCCCACCACTAGTAGATATTGTCTTCTTTGGGATTTCCCTCCGAGTTTTTAAAATGCGTCTGCTGAGGAGAGGTTTCCACATCCTAATAAAGGGTGTTCATCCTCCTCCCCAACCAACGTGGGATCTCACAATTTACTCCCTTCGGAGCTCAGTCTCCTCGCTGCACGTCGCCCAGTGTCTGACTCTGATACCATTATAACGGCCCAAGCCCACCACTAGTAGATATTGTCCTCTTTTGGGCTTCCCCTTTCGAGTTTTCACATCCTTATAAAGAGTGTTTCATTCTCCTCCCCGACCAACGTGGGATCTCACAATAAACTTGGGTCTTTGTTACGTTGTGACAGTTAAAAGTAACTTTACTTTATTTAGAATCATCCAAAGAACGGACCTCAGCCTTTCCTTCAACTGAACCACACCTATAAAAAAAAGAAAGGAAGCTCAAGTTCAGTAGTACATAACGCAAGTCTACGATTCCTGGTAGCACATTTTCTGATCTTGTCTCCTCAACGAGGTGTTGGATAGCTACTTAGGACACTGTACATCAGGCTGGCATAGCAATTAATTCTTCCATCCAATTACTTGAAGCAAACAGAATGAAAAATTGGAATAATCAAAGGAGAAGAATGTTGAAAAGCAAACAGAGAATAGAACAACAGGAAATTATGTCAAGGTTAGGCACAATAATAATGCATCAATAACAACATAACTCAATCACATCTAGTCTGCTATCCTAAAGGAAGCTCTTATCTTATTTGCAATTGATAAGAATAATAATTGGATCAACAAGCATGGATGGATGTGGGGGATAGTGCGGGTAAGTTAATAAAGATCAGTATCCATTCACATATTGCTTAAATGATTCATAATATCATAACTGTAACTTCAAATTTTTGCAGATCACTAATATGTGATCTCTTCCCTAACCATACCATGGGACACGGAAACAAATGAAAGCTCATACTCAAAGTGAACGATAAGGGCTTGTTCATTCCAACAAAGAGTTAACCTGGATAAGAGCTAGGTGGATAAAGATGACTGACTATTTAAGGGAAGGGTCAATATTTTGATCGAGGAGAGAATTGTTGAGAGTGTAACCAAAATCCCACGTTAGCTAGATATGGAGAATATCATAGATAGATATATAAATGATAGACAATATCCATCGGTACCAGGTTTTTTTTGGGTGATTCTGAAAACAAAATCATGAAAAATTATACTTAAAGTGATCGATATTATGTTACTGTAAAGATGTTTCATCAGTTCATTGTCCTTGATAATTGATACACTTATTAACTAATTGAGATATGTTCAATCAAAATGTTCTTAAACGTATACTCATGGTAATTTCATTCTCATTGATAAGGGAAAAGCATCGAAGGCATTCACATAATATCATCAGAAAAGAACTCACGATCTAAATTAGCAGATATAGTATACAGAAGTTAACGATCATCATCCATGCCAAACAAGCCGAAAGCTACGGCCCATTCCAATTGAAATCAAGCTTTCGTACAGTACGAGAGTAAGATATTATTCCTGTCAACAAAAAAAAAACGTTCCTAATAATAGAACTCAGAGCAGAACTATAGTAAGGAAAAAATAAGACAAAAATCTTTCGAAATGATGGAACAACAGTGCATACATCGGTTACGTCTCAACCAAAACAACGGGAAAAAAAACATTTGAACATGAACTTCTCAAAAAACCATGAGCAGAAACAACGATAGCAAGATTCAGAAACATGAATTTACCAACTCTTTCCATTTCGTATGGATCAAAGAACAACCGAGACAGAATGAGTAGCAGATAAAGAGGGAGAAGGCATCAGTGCCAATCGCGAAAGGGAGTGAAGAGAAATGTGGCGGGGTGATCATCGGCAGAATTCCGCAGAGAACGAAACAAAAAATTTAGCCGCTATGAACAAGTGTCTGCGAAACAAGGCTATTGATTGTGGGCTTAGGCGCGGCCCATATGAACCACATGGGCCCAATATTGGATCCACGTTTTTTAAATAAAATTACGAAAAACACCTTAAACTAATCATTTGCAAAATCTAATTATACTCGTTAACAAAATTAAATTCATTTTGTATGTTAACCTATATTAATAATTTAATAATATACCAAATTTTGTTCACATTTATAATCTTATAAATATTACTTTTATATATTAATTTGTCAACTAATTCAAAGATATTTTAAAAAAAAATATCATAGTAATGGATAATAAATATATTTTTTATAAGTAAAAATAATTTAATATTTTTATGGAGCAAAACATTTAAATATTATAGACTACAGCAAATATTTAGCTTCCAAGCAATGGAAGGAGATCAGGACTCTGACCGCGTGTCAGGCATAGGCAGTGGCTTGGTTAAGTGAACCCATCGGAGCCGTAGCGAAAGCTAGTCTTCGTGGTGCAATTGTCACTGCTTATGGACCCGAACCTGAGTGATCTATCCATGATCAAGATGAAGCTTGGATGAAACTAAGCGGAGGTCTGAATCTACTGATGTTGAAGAATGAGCGGATGAGTTGTGGTCAGGGGTGAAATGCCCGTAATTCTTGTAAATTTGGAATTTTACTATTTTTATCCTCGTAAATAAAAATACTTTAATTTATTATTTTTATTAATTGAATTCACGTGGGAATCTTTAGTTTATTATAATAGGATGTGCAGTTTTTTAATATGAATTATTTAAGAGGAGTTGGAGGATTGAAATTAAGATTTTAAATGAAAAGAAATAAATAAATAAATAAGTATAAAATAAAAGTTTAAGATCCATAATAAAACTTTTAATGATTTATGGATCAAATTATTTTTTTAATAATAAAAAGTAGATAAAGTTTTTTAGGGATCAGACACAAAATTTAATCCAAACTCTTTTTCTATATTTTTTTTTTCTGGCATTCAAAATTATTTTAAGAAAAAGTGACGTCTTAACAAACACTGGGTTTTCTCAAAAGCAAAAAGTCTCAATTATTTTGTTCAGAAGGTAAGTAATATATATATATATATATAGATATAGATATAGAAATTTAAGATTGATATAATTATAAAAATCATTAAAAAAAAACAATAAATAATAGAAAAAGAAAATTCCAACTCTCAATCATCTTAGGTTAGTGTGCTCCATGATTTTCTAATCACTTTGACACGAAGATTGTGTTTACTTATATTTCAAGTAACAAAAAATCTACACTTTGTTCAGATTATGAGAATATGAATTGGGATTTGAAGTTCACAATAATATCAACTTTTACAACTTGGAATTGTTCCTTTGGAGTATTCAAAGATGATGAATGCAAAAAGAAAGAGAAAGAGGGGGAAAAAGAACAAGAAGAGGGGAAAAAAGAACATTTCAAGGGAATCCAAAGCATATAAGTGAATGCTTCTGATTGAGAGTGATATTCCAAGATCACAAGGAAGAAGACATTAAGGAAAAGATAAGAACTGTGACTGTTTTGTAGCTAGGAGCTGTGATGTCCATATATCAGGAAGATGAAGAATGAGAAAACAATGGAGAAGATGGAGGAGGAGCTCGTCTTGTTCGGCTTCTTCCTCGACGAAACGTCGAGGAAGGAGAAGAAGTTGCAGAAGAAGAGGGATTAGAATTGGGAGTTTTGGTGGATTGACTTGTTAAATCCTTCTTTGTTTCCATGGTTACAACTTTGTCTTCAATTCTGTGGTGGTGTCTGATTCTGGTGGAATTGAAGGTCACTGGTAGAACACAATTGCAAAGAAAGCCTGAAAAGGAAAAGAAAAAACAGCACACATTGATCCAAAATGGTGTAGCACAGAATCAAGCAAGCTCACAAGAAATTTAACCAGAACCAACAAGATCAGAACTCCAGATTCACAAGCAAAACAAAAAAAAAGAACCCAAATGCTAATCGGGTTGTGTTCTAGCCCTTTAAATGAACTTCCAATCAAATTCTAGTTCTAGCAAGCCACAGATGGATAAAAAGAAAGAGGTGTTTTCTTACCAATTCTAGCAAGGCGATTAACCCAATTTGGGATGGAATTTTCTGTGAGTTTAACACAAGCGTCGTTGCAAAAATGGTTGCAGTTTTTGGTGATTAGATTATAAGCATTTCCTTTGTAGATTTGAGCAAGTTCCTCCATTAAAGCTCTCACCTCTGATGGTTTCATATCTGTTTTGCCTATCAAAACTGACTTCCTAAATCTAAATCCATGGCATTGCTTCGGCACTCCTTCAAAAATTCCTGTTGTTGAGTACTCGTGAGCTCCAAATGCGTATTCCACACCATGAACTGCAATTCAAAAACATCAAATCGAGTTCAGCAAATACAGCTGAAAGATCTGCCAGATTTGAGCGTATGAACTTCACCGGCACCGAAATCGTATACAATAACGAAAACGACCTGGTTCAAACGGAAAGCTGGAAATAAAAGAGAAATCAGAAACGAGGTTTCCACTTGTCGGAAAATTTACTCGTCTGCCGAATGGGAAAATGTTCGAAGTTCGATGTAGTTAGTAGCCTAATTGACAGAAAATGCAAAATCGAGAACAGAAATACCATAAGTGAGCCGATGTCGTTATAAAAAAAAATCAAAAAAGAAAAAGAAGAAGAAGTGTTAGAATAATCGGAATAATTTTTCTATACTGATGCATCTCTCGAGTCACACAGCACACGTTTCAATAAAATCTTTCACACTCTCCGATTCATTCTCCCTCAGAGCACAAAACATGGAAAACGGAGTATATCGCATCGCATCAACGAATTAGCAAGATCACAAGAAACGGCAAAGCATCATAAGAGCTTCAGCTACGAGAAAACAGAAAAAGAAAAACTCACGAAACGCCTTCGAAAACGAAGATCAAATGGAAGCCATTATAGCCATTACTGACCTTGAACTCCTGAATGGAAAACACCAAGGCCAAACCAGTAAGCGTAGCCATTAATCGCGGTCAGATCGTACACATTGAGATACACCGGCACGGATCCTCCGGTTTGTTTCCCGACTGGTTTCTTAAACAACAACATTCTTCAGACTTCAATTCATGGCAAAGAACAAAAAAACTCGCAAAAAATGGAGAAGGAAAAACACAGAGTATATCCTGAAGAGATGGAGGAAATTTTGAAATTCAAAATCTGTGGAGAAGAATGGTAACTCTAATCTCTGAGTTTCAATTCTAACGGGCGTCACCGGCGGCGACTCATTGTTGAGTACCTTAGATATGATCTGGACCGTGGTTGATTTTATTTTTGTAAGTGTATATCATCGACCTTAGTTTGGAGCTTAAATTACAGTAATGCCACTGAAGGCTTTTCAGTTTTACTTAGTTTAAATAATAATTTATTTTAGCTCGAGAATTTTAATTTGTAATAAACACTAATTAATTACAGAATTTCAACAATTTAATGTGTAACAGCTTAATTTTATAAGTTATTGTCGGGAAAAAATTCAATATTTATTTAATCCTTTTAACTTAAAAACAAATCGGTCTATAATAATTTAAAATTTTAAAAGATACATTTTTATTTATTTTTATATACCTTTTTATTTATTTTATTATTTGCATTTAAATTTTCATATAATAATGTCAATGTGAATAATAAAAGCGGCGTGACATGTACACTTTTTTTTTTAATATTTAATATCTAAATAATTTAATATGTTAAAAATATTTGGATAAGACCAATAATTTGTAATACGAGTGACTTAGTTGGATTTTCGTTATTAAAAAAAATAAATTGTTGGGCTGTCTAGTCGATGAGGTGGAAAATTATTTTTATATTCACTTTCTTTTTCTTGGTTTTATTTATTCATTTTTGTGAAGATTATTCTCTTTGTTCGAGGATAAAAGTACCCGAGTAATTTAGGAAATGATCACGAGTTTGTAATAAAAAAATACACCCTCACTAGTGTGAGGCCTTTTGGGGAAGTCCAAAGCAAAGCCTTGTGCTCAAAGTGGACAATATCATACCATTGTGGAGAGTCGTGTTCCTCTAACATGGTATCAGAGCCATGCCCTAAACTTAGTTGTGCCAATAGATTGGTAAATCTTAAATGTCGAACAAAGAACTCCAAAAGAAAAAGAGTCGAGACTCGATTAAGGGAGGTCGAACAAAGGACTCCAAAAGAAAAGAGGTCGAGCCTCGATTAATGGGAGGTCAAACAAAGGACTCCAAAAGAAAAGGAGTCGAGCCTCGATTAAGGAGAGGATCATGCCCTAAACTTAGTCGTGCCAATAGATTGGTAAATCCTTAAATGTCGAACAAAAAACTCCAAAAGAAAAGGAGTCGAGCCTCGATTAAGGGGAGGATTATGATCTAAACTTAGTCGTGCTAATAGATTGATAAATTCTTAAATGTCGAACAAAAGATAATGAGTCGAGTCTCGATTAAGGGAAGAATGTACTTTATTCGAGGAGAGGTATTGGACGATGAAAGTCTTACACCAATAATATTGGTGTGGAATTGTGATATCAAACAGACACAATTGTCGGATAAATTTGTAATTTTATATTTTATTTATTTTATCTATTATTATTTCTTAATGTAGTAGCGGAGGAGTGTGGGTGTGCTTAAACCCTAAACCCCAAGGAAGATCAATCTCCTCTTCGTCTTCCCCTCGATTCAAATTCATCACATCAATGGCGCGAGTGATTCGACCATTGAGAAAATGCCTTCAGTTTTCTTCTTCTTCTTCTCACAAGGCTCTCATGTCGCAGGCGCACCGACTAAATCCCATTCCATTTCCTCCTGAAAACCCCTGCGTTCTCTTCAAGACACTGCGCCATTACATATCCGAGATGCGTAGATCTGCGTTCGAAGGCAGCATTCTCAGACTTCTCCGTAACGAAATCCGATATGAACTCGAACGGCATCCTCCCGATCAGGTTGGCTTCTCTATTATTCTCTCTGCCGCGAGT